GCACCGATGAATCCAAACCGTCTTGCATGCTTCGCGGAAAAGTCTAGAGACCGACTATAACTTTTCAGTGGCTCTTAAGGAACGGCAGTCGAGAATAGTCGGTATGGTCACGGACTTACTCGCGATGCCCAGTTACTCTTATCCTCCGACAGTCACACGTGATTTCTTTATGTCACTGACAGGCTCACTCTCTCGTTACCCGTATCAGTTGCTCCCGTACGTTTCTCGTTTTCTCATATACTTAACTCTCCCACTGACTCTCGCTACGCTGGCTTCTTCGCTGTTAATAGCTATACGTATACGTTCTTTCAGCGCACCAGGACAGGGGAAGCACGCGATGCAAAGGCTGCCTTACCGGCAGGGCCTGTTTCTTGCCCACGGGAGTAGTCAAATACGCGGCCTGCCGGCTCCCACGCTGCATCCCAGACGGCGCGATCGAAAGTCAGCGTGAGGAGGGACGGGAGGGGAGCGAGAGAAAAAAAAGTAATAAGAGTCGAAGAAACGGGCTCCGATTATCGTCTCAAAGATTCCCTCGACCTATCGGGACACGGGTTTCTCTTTTATACCGTTCGAGCCTGTTCATTCAGATCCGAACTCTGCCGCCATTCAAGGCACTCGCCTCGACCGCGACTTCGCTCCGACAGAGACCTCGCCCTGCAGCTTCACGATTTCAATACAATCTGGAAAATTATCATTGGACAGACCCCGTCTGAGCTCTTGGATAGGACTCGAGGCTGCATTGCCAGCGCGTAACTCCCGTGTCACTGATCTTAATGAGAGGAGACTCGGAACACTCGGAGAATTGTGTACGTGCACTCTGGATGGGAGACTCGAGTTCGGACGGCGGTAACGTGTGCCATGCGTCTTCTTGAAAAAAGAAAAAAAGGGGGCCTTATAACCATTCACAAGAGCGGACCCAGAAGATTATACTGGATAGAGTGGCCCCGGGCATGGGCGTAAGCAAGCATCGTTCGGGACCCGAAAAATTCTCAAGGAAACGATCGGACCCGTATGCAACCTATAGGCCTCGACATAGGTATACAACGCATATACCTGGTGTCCTGAGAAAAAAATCATCACGTCAAATTCCTCAACGTCTTACACAGAGAATTTCTCGAGGTCGTTGTTTAGGTGCCGCGGCTAACGATCTCGAGAGGAGATCGGGTCGTCCGAGAAATCGCGATTTCGGTCCGATATCGTAGAAATTCTTCGGAATCCTCTCGAGGCGATACCATAGATTTTTTAATATCAACGTGTATGTCCGCCTATCCACTATTTAGACTCTGTATACCGTGACTCTATGAAAATCAATCAATAAATTTTGTCCATAATAAAAAAATCAATAATTTCCATCGATAACTAAACGAATATTAAATATATACGAGAGTATGAACAATTTTTGGAAATGAACCTTCACTTTCTACGGGATCGACGTATCTTCTTGCTCATCTTCGTGGAACAGGAATATTTTTTTAACCGATCGGCGCATTTGGGTTATTCGTCCCGTGATTTTTGTGCCTCTCTTTACTCCCTCTCGCGTTCTCTCTCTCTCCCTCCCTCCCTCCCTCCCCCAAAGACCAAGGGCTCTCACTTGCTTCCATACGTACTGGGTACTCCTGGTGTGCTCTTCGACTACTCGGTATCCCGCGCCGCAGGGCACACCTTAACGAGGCACGGAGCTAGCACGAAAATCGATATCTCCGAACGCACCTCGAACGCTCGTCTACGAAGTGACGTTTGGTTTTAGCTGTTAACGAGTGATTCGAAAATTTGATAGAAAAAAAAAAAAAAAAAAAAAAAAAAAAAAAAAAAAAAAAAAAAAAAAAAAAAAAAAAAAAAAAAAAAAAAAAAAAAAAAAAAAAAAAAAAAATTCAAAATCGATCAAAGATTCATCAATGTCAAAAATCATAAGCGCACGCACATACACGACGGTAGCTCGTACACACGTGGTCGCTCGATAAACTTCCACGCAGCGTACCGCTGGCTCCTATCTATTTATCTGAGGAGATACGCTAACGAAACGAGACGTAATTCATTTGCGGCCTTTTGCGCTAATCGATTTTCACGCTAAACGCTACGTCGAAGAGACGAGTGAATAATGCGAGGAAACAAAATTAGCGAGATAAAAACCTAGAGAGAGAGAGAGAGAGAGGGAGAGAAAATATGTTTATTGACCCTAGGGCACAGACCTCCAAAGAGCGACAGCGTGTAAGTAAATTTTGATAATAAATTAATAATAATAATAAACGAGAGAAATAGTGAGCAGAGATGAAAAAAAAAAAAGAATATCAATCCTCAAATCGTCATTGTCGTAATGAAGTCTTGCGCATCAATATTAGACGCGCGTTCTCTCCGGCCCATTACACACTGCTGTTACAATTGATCCTAACGCCTGTCAAGATTCGATTCGGAGTAAGATCATGCTATTCTCGACGGAATGACTAACGCGTGGCTACTAATATTCCCATTGAGAAAGATCGATGCCCGTTAGACAATCATTTAAAAGTAATTTAACACTTGACTCACGATTATTACAGCATTCAATCTCCGAGCTCTCACGTAACGAGGCACGTACGAAGTGAAGGATGAAAATGATCCAGTGAACCCACAAGGATTCATCCCCTTTAAAAGCAGCATAAGGTCTAACCACGGGAGGACCATGACCTGACCTTAGCCAAAGGTAATACAAGCCGTCCTACTTCAACCAGCGCGAAGATCAAGAAGCGAGAAAAATCACGAGGCCCCCCTCCTCGACCCACCCACTGCCAACGTTTACCCAGAGTTTCAATGAGAAAGCATCACAAGGATATAAAGCTCGGTCTGGATGAGCATCGTTCTCATCCCATTGCAGTATCATCCGGCGTCTCCCTGTCAAGGGGGTGGGGCGGGGGGAGAACGAAGCCACAGAGTAAACCCTCGTGGAATAGGAAACCGGGGGTAGACGAGGAGCTCCCGGTCGGGCCCATCCGTGCGGAAGAGAATTGAACGAGGCGGGCGCAACCTGTTGCGCGGGGAATTTATTTCCTCTCGTAAGCGGAAAACGAGCTTCCTCGGCTACTGGTTGGCACCCCCGAGCGAGGGGACGACAAACAGAGACGTCCGGATGGGGTGACGTGAATATTCGTGAAATATAATAGAGACACCAAGTGTGACGTAGCTAGTAAGAATTTGCCATCCCGAGGTCGGTATGCGGGTATATCCTGCGACAGGAATGTCGCGGTGTACTCGAGAGAGAGAGAGAGAGAGCTATGTCCGTGTTGCTATAGAGACCGATACAATGCTCAGGTAACCTGTCTGCCCTTTCTCTACGTCAAATTTTCTTTTTTTTTTTTAATAACAGAGTGGCACATACGTCACGCACTCCATTCGTACGTACTCCTCTCCATTTACAGGATTAGTCGTAATCTTTGAGGTTAGCCGTATAGTTACCAGAGAGTTTATGCATCGAGAAGTGATTTGGCGACACGAGGCAGTCGGTCTAGATCAGGTTGTGCGCGCTGTGGATCTATCCAGGCGTACCGATCGATCGCTCCCGAGCACGACGGCGAGCCACGGAAACGTAAGGCTAAAATAAATCAATAAAATAGTGGTGCTCGTGATGGCGGTGGCGTCGGCGGCGTCGGCGAGCGAACAGGCGAAGTAAGCGAGCGAGCGAGCGAGCGAGGTCGAGACATGCGGCAGCTGTCTGGCGCCAGGGCCCCCCTTGCCCCACCGCACTTGGCTCGCCCCTTTACCCGACACGGCCGACACACTCCTCCCCTCGCCCGCCCTACCGCCTCGTCCTCCACCTCCTTCTCCACGCTATAGTAGAGCCAGTCCTCACTAACCTGGCTTCTCTACCAAAGAGCCAGCCCCGACCAGCCACCCACCTTTAGCCGATCCGCGACGCGCCGACCTATCCTGCCAGCCATTCTCGAAACTGGAGAGACGCGAGAACTCCGTCGCTTCTCAATCGTTGGCCCATCGATCATCCAACGATGGCTTTATTGTCCATTGGATTCGGATCGGAATAAAGACTTATTCTTAGATCGGGTCGCGCCGAATCCGAAGGGAAGAATATTGCCTTGGGAATTCCTACGCGCGCTGGACTGTATTTCGACTGCTTTATTTGTCCTCTTAATCGTTAATTCTTGATATACGCTTTGCCCGTTAATGGTGGGTAGAGATTATTGAATGAATTCAAAATGACGATGTGGATTACAGAGCCGGACAGTCTATTTATAGTTTTGCAACGACACGGTGTATGTCGTTATGCAGGTACGTTAGGTAGGTACGAGTGAGTGTGAGAGAGAGAGAGAGAGAGAGAGTGACGGTTTACAGTCGGCCGTAGCCAGGAGAAGTTTCCACCGAGAAACAGGAAGTCTCGTAGACGAGACGCCGTAATTTAACGAGCTGAGCTTCCTCCGGTTGGCGAAGCCTTGTCGAGTCGATAAGGCTCTCCAGTTTTGAAGAGCGTCGAAAGCCTTAAACCGCAGCGGCAGTCGGTGAGACGCCACTTGGAAATTCCTCGACGTCGCTCGTACGAGAGGAGGATTGCCGTTTGAGAAGAATTTTCAAGAGCCCCGTAGAGTGCACGAAAAAAAAAAAGAAAAAACAAAAAGGCTGGGGATAACAAGCATAACAAAAATTTTTCTCTATAAATGCGGAACCCGAGGATCTTGGCGAAATATCGTAAGAAGTCATTCATAATAGCGCGACTCAAGGTCAACCACATAAGGATAGACGTACGTACAAGATGCAATGGCGTAGCCAGCGCGGCCCATAGACCCTCAATTTTATTCTATATCGAGCCGCGTACGCCCTTGGCAACTCGGGGAAAAAATGCGATATATAATAGAATCACAAGCACTATCGAAAAAGATAGTCTCTCGACATTCTTCAAATACGTCGTTGACACATCCGTTCGAGTAGGTATCAGTTTTCGAGTATATCCAAGCAATACGTAACTCTGAGAACACGTAAGAAGTAGACACTGTTTTTCGACCAGTGATGTACGTTACCTTCTCCGTTAGTGGTGAGCGAGCCAGGAAATGGCAAAGGGCTGGAGTTTCTGCACTGTCGCGAATCTCCTTCACTCGGAGCACGATCTGAAAAAAAAAAATTATCACTTATTTTTCAAATTCCCTCAGAAGTTTCCGAAAGTCGATCGAATCGACGAGAACTAGCATAACAGCTCTTCCAAAGATACACACACAGTATATATCTCCCGAAGCCCAGCAATATGCACGTCTCTCTCTTGCGCGCGTAAACCCGCATGGGCCTGTCTCTCTCCCACTCACGGTCGACATGAAAAATAGCTCCGTAATACCATATCTCGGTAAATCAAAATAGATTTCATCGGACATCGAAAAATCGTACGCTTCCGATACATAGTGTAAACGTGACGAACGTAAGTATACTGTCGCGAGTACATGAAAATTTGTGTGGGTGCGGTAAAAAAAAAAAAGCAGGAAAAAAGATATATAACAGAGTCACCTCCAACGCTGCTGACGTCTACGAGTCATAACGCTGTTAGAGCGCGTACGCAGATAATCAAGGAGGACGTACGAAACTTGTCATAGACTATTTCCTGCCGCCTATTCCGGGCTACGAAACATGAATGATCGCGAATACGTGCATTTATGTGATATTATACGACAATTAAAAGCGTACGTTCGGGCAAAGGGGTGACGTCACTATCTGTCCGGTCCAATCGGTTCCTTATAAACTTGTCCGAAGAGCCATTCGATCGGTTAAAACGTAAAGTTTACGATACCGTTTGACAGCCACTGAGCAGAGATGCTCACGATTGGTTCCAAGACATCTTACACGTTCCCGGTGCGCTCCTGCTACAGGTTTCCTTCTAACCCCGTGAGCTCTGCCTTTTCTCTTTTTTTTCCATTTCACCGAAACTCAATAGGAGGATCCCGCGGAGCGTGGCGATTTTAACGAATCTCAATAGGCGTATTTATTTATTGATAGAAGAGAGGTGGGAGGGAGGCACGTGGTGCAGTGGCACGTGCACGTCATCCACACGGTCTCAGGTACCACCACCGTCTATAGGTGTGTATACCTACCGAGAAATTTTCACGTTGCTCATCCGCACCTTACGTAACCCTAGCAACGCCTAGCCCCCGGCTCATAGATACATATAATATGTATTCCTGGTAGTGCGCGGTTTCCCGGAAAGCGTACGAATGATTTTCGTAGATGATGTACGAGTCGCGTTATTCGCGAGATTGGCATCGTGCTCGAGGTACTGCCAAGAGACTTTTTTTTTTCAGGCTCGTTAACGCGCTCGCTCTCGACTCTTCTTTCGAGAAATGCCCCTCCCCTAGGAAAAAAAAAAAAAAAAAAAAAAAAAAAA